GGCTGGCATTTCTCCACTCCCCCTGCTTAGTTACACTACTGTTCTGAGCACTCAATGCCTTTGCATACAGTGTACGGCAAATCAGGAGGTCCTGAATCCCACCTAAACCTGTCGAATAGTATCTGTGTGAATTGAAATCCCTACCAAATCCACTGTGTAAATGGGAAGGAAGATAGACCCAAGGTGAAAAAGAGGACAGTTTCTTATAGCCCATATGAATGGATTGACGTGCCACAGCTGTACCTTGGGAAGACCTTCCTGGTTAGGATTTTCTAAATTTTCAACGGCCAGGGAATAGGAAAACTAAACATCCCAAGATGTGCCCTCATTCACACTGTAACCGAATGATCTGCAAAACTGCTGGCTGGCATGAGGGGCGTCTTGCCATCTACTGGGAACAGGAAACAAATGCAGAACAAGTCAGCCTGGAGCCACGGCATCCGTGATCCCCCTTCCTTCCTCTTCATATCAGTAGAAAGACTCAAAATCTTCCCCCTGGGGTACTAGAGGAGGATGTTTGAAAGCAGGGAGCAAACTCCCACCCTTCAAATGGAGCCTACATAATATGGGCAGTCTCTCTAAAACAGGGGTGTCAAACATACAGTCCACAAGCTGGATCCAGACAGAGCCCCGCCATCCTTCCCCCAGTGCTGCTCCTGGGACTGATCACAGGGCATGACACAGGGTCAATCCGTGGTCCAGATCAGGCCCACAGACTCCCTCCGGGTCTCCTTTCCTCCTACCCCTCCCCTAGCACACCTAGTCCAGTGACTGCTCTAGTTGGTCTGGGACCCACACTGCATGCATCGCAGGTGCTGGACTGGCTGGAGTAGGTGCTGCATGCAGTGCCACCCTGGAGCTGCCAGGCCAGGTGCCATGTGCAACAAGGCTGCTGCTGTGGCCAGACGGTGCTATATGCAGTGCCCGTTCCGGCCTCGTTGGGATCCATGCCTCACGCAGCATGGGTCCCACACCAGTTGGAGCAGCTGCCATATCAGGTATGCTTGGGAATGGGGGGCCTGGTCCCATGCCACTCATTCAGCCCACAGG